ACCTTTGAAAAGGATTTTAATATAAAGTTCTTGAGCAGATGTTGAGTTCTCGGAAGGGTGATATAAGACGGTTTTCCTGTTTTTGAGCTTGTTCCCTATTTTGATGGTGGGAATGAATCATTCTTGGCAGCATTTCCATCATGAAGTTGCGAAGAATAAATGTGAAACAAAGGAATGGGGCAACTAGGACTATTTAATAACTGCTCAGAACTAAAGTGTGCTCCAAAGCTGGCTTTTAGTCAGTACACTCTTTCTTTGTTTATGTCATAGAAGCTTCGAATAGTCCTGCTTCTGTCTTGAACATTTGCTGCTTGGGTAGGTCTTTTGCTCAAGATGCTGTGTTACTTCAGTGTCTCTTCACCACAGTCTTCTTGATTGGGCTTTTCCCCATTCCATGCTTCCCAATAGTGAGTGAGTTCAGGTTGGAAGCATGAAGCACTCTTTTGGAGAGTAATTGGCAGTTGTCTTCAGACATTTAATTTTCTAGAAATAATGTCCTTGTTTTGTAATCTGGTTGTGCAGACTTTGTTCCATCTGAATGTTTATATTTCAAGATTGAAATTACACATGGCAAATGTGTTTTTCATTTTTTTGAACATGTTCATTCTTCACTGAAGGAGAAGTCTTTGTGCTGGATGATGGTGGAGAAGTTGACCTTGACTTGGGAAATTATGAGCGGTTCCTGGATATCCGCCTCACCAAGGACAATAATCTGACTACGGGGAAGATATACCAGTATGTCATTAACAAAGAGCGCAAAGGAGATTACTTGGGGAAGACTGTCCAAGGTAAGACTGGATTTACCTTTAAGAAAGAAACTGTTAGCCAATTTAATTTCTATTGAGTATAAAAATTTATTTTTATGTGATTTTAGTATTTTGTCAAGGTTTTACCAAAATACCCTTTCAGTTGGAAATTCAGAATTGTATGGCTGTTCACTCAGAAAATACTTTGAGAAAGCTGCTCTTGGCTCTAGTAATGACATAGGTGTTGTCAGTCAGCATGGCGACATGGTTGGATTCCAGAGAGCTGCTCCTTTTACATGCCAAGCAATGAAGGAAGCTTAACTGAGGCATTATGCCTGGTGGCTTGTGTAAGTGATGGGGAAATGAACTTCCATTGCTTGAGTTGGGAAAACATTCATGTGACACGGGCTTTTCATTTGATGGAAGTCTGAGAAGAAGTGGGCTCCTGGGCCCTCTTGAGCTTTCATCAGCTCAGTTGACATCTGTTGGCTGTTCTGGGATTTTCTGTAAGTAGTCATTTAGGAAAAGTGTTCCCTGCTTTGAAACGGTGGCATTGGGACTCCATGGGTCTAGTGGGATGACAGTATGCAAGTCTGGGCCATTGCTTTCCTCTGAGTAGAAGAGCAGATTTGTGTTTGATTTACCTTTGCTGCACTGAGAACTAAGGTTCAGCCCGACCCTGGCTAGGGCTGCCCTGGCCAGAGTCTGGTCCGTTCATTTCATAATTTTCATAATTTGGGGCTTAGCTCTGTTACATACTAGCCCTGTGAACACAGGAAGGAAAATTCTGTACCCTTTTGAGATGTGGTTTCCTTGTGTATAAAATGGAGGTGGTAAAGACTTCTGCTTTTTGAGTTGATAAAGAGTTAAAAGACTGCATCAGGATGCTGCTGCTCCACCTTCCTGGCACATAGAGAGGGTTTGTTGTGAATTAAGGTCATGTTGGTTGTGCAGTTTGTTCTAGTGTACTGTTCCTTTATTTGTCACCATGAAATGTTTATTGAATACTCACTAAGGGTCAGACCGTTAGTAATAACACAGGTACACAGGCCCCAGACTACAGGGATCTGTGGGCAAGAACTAGAGGGGAAGCTGCTGTGGTTGAGACATTACAGTCTGGGACAACAGCGCTGTCACCCAGTGGATGTTATGTGAGGCTTTAACTTAGTACTAAGGAGTTTAAATGTGGAGTAATGAATTCCGATTTGCGTTTGTAGATCACTTGGCTGCTCTGTGTGACATAGGTAATAGATATCTATGCAAGAGCATTGTTGCTTAATCCCAGGTCATTCCAGTCACCTGGGAATTGCATTCTTGAGTCCAACAACTGTGATTATAAAAAGTGTCCCACAGTAGCTGGTTATTACTGAGTCCTGGATGTTCTGCTATCTTATAAGACATTCTCAGAAGTAGAGGTCGTAATTACTTCTACTTGAAGACTCCAAGCTTAAAGATAAAGAGATAATAGAGTGAGCCATAGCTGGTGAGTTGTGAACTGAGATTTGATCCTAGGTGCTGTTTCTTTCGCAGCTTTGCTGTGTTATTTCTCTTGCAGTGGATTGCCTACCCTTTGGTAAACTGGAAACATGGCACAGGGTTCTGGTAGTATGTTTGCTTCTGGAAAACCGCTCAGGTGTAATGTACCCACTCCAGCTTCAGCTGAGAGCAATAGGGGTGGTCACAGGTTTTGTGTCCTTGTGTGGCTAGAAGAGTAGACCGCACAGCGCATGTGTTTGGAGCTGCTTAGGGAGCCACTTTTGGCTTCATTCTTTTCTCATGGCTTCCAGCAACAGTCTAGAACTCTGGAAAGGAGGCCTAGGGAAGTATGAACCCAAAGATTTATTGAGTCATTTAAAGGCACTTCAAAAATATTTTGGGCTGGAGAGATGGCTCAGTGGTTAAGAGCACTGGCTGCTCTTCCAGAGGTCCTGAGTTCAATTCCCAGCAACTACATGGTGGCTCACAGCCATCTGTAATAAGATCTGGCGCCCTCTTCTGGCAGGCGGGTATACATGGAGGCAGAATGTTGTATACATAATAAATAAATAAATCTTAAAAAAAATATTGGGGCTGGTGAGATGGCTCAGTAGTTAAGAGCACTGACTGCTCCTCCAGAGGACCTGGGTTCAATTTCCAGCACCCACATGGCAGCTCGCAGCTGTCTGTAGCTCCAGTTCAAGAGAATCTGACATCATTATACCAATGCGCATGAAATAAAGTTAAATAAAGTTTAAAAAAAATTTTTATGATCCTATTGCTTGTTTAGGAAGAACTTTCCTAAGTACGCCTATACCCCATTGCTTGTATATCTAGGCAAGAAAGTGTATCAGCTTGTCTTAACAGTCAATGTATTTGCCTTCATAAATGCTGATTGATAGGCAAGTATAAGTTACAGGTTTCTTTTCTTTTCGTAGTTGTCCCTCACATCACAGATGCAGTCCAGGAGTGGGTGATGAGACAGGCATTAATACCTGTAGATGAAGATGGCTTGGAACCTCAAGTGTGTGTTATTGAGGTTTGTATGATTCTTGCCTGTGTGAATCTATTGTCTGTTCATCCCAGCTCAGTAAGTCCCAGCAGTTTTGTTATAACTGGTGGTTTTTAGTAGAAAGGTTATTTACACTTAACTAAGGAGACTCATCTAGGTTTCATTCATTCATTCATTCATTTATTTTTTGTGGTTCTCAAGTGAATAAACAGTGCCCTCCTTTCTTTCCTCCTCCTTCTCCTTTTTTTTGGAGACAGGGTTTCTCTTTGTAACCCTGGCTGTCCTTGGAACTCGCTCTGTCGCTCTGTAGATCGGGCTAGCCTCGAACTCACAGAGATTGGCTTGCTTTTGGGGGCCCCCCCCCCCAGTGTTGATATTCAAGGTGTGTGTCACCACTACCTGATTCCAGGTACCTTTCAAGCCCAGTCATTTTCTTAAAATACCGTGATGATATCTTCAATATTTTCAGGGAAATCAGGAGTCCCTAATAGTATCAACTTTGAGCACAAAGCAGTGTCTGAAGATTGACATTCTGTAAGGCTAGGAGTTTGCAGTTACACTGCAATCTGGACACTGAATGGTAGAAATTCAGTGTTAACCTCTGAGATGGTGTGTCCTTTCAGCTTGGTGGCACAGTGGGAGACATTGAAAGCATGCCCTTCATTGAGGCCTTCCGCCAGTTCCAGTTCAAGGTCAAGAGGGAGAACTTTTGTAATATACACGTCAGTTTGGTTCCTCAGGTAAGTTATACAGTTTGGTTCTAAGCTTTCAACACTGGAGGTACAAGAAATAGGAAATAAAGAACTTCTGTGAGTTTATTACAATCACATGCTTTATTTATTTGGTGTATGTAGCTGAGTCTTCTTGCCAGTTCGTGTTTTGAAAGAGTAAATGGAAAAATGAATCAGGATTCATTGTAATAAAGGTGGTAGATTGAACATGTATGCTTGCTTTGCTATCTGTCAAAATCAGAGTGAAGTAATTTTTTTAAGACAGAAAATCAAAAAAGAGCATGGAGATGAGTTGGCAGTAATAAAAGTAAGGAATTTACAAAGCACACTGACACATAAAGACTGAGCAACCTTGGGTGTGCACCTGCAGCAGGGGGAGCTGAGAAGCCATCCTTTTTGCCCTGTGGCCCCCCCAGAGGCTCATGATAGGCAATGTCAGGCTCTTCTGGGAGCAGGACGAGCATAGGGCTCACAGCAAAGACCTGCTTGCTTTTGCACCCAGTCAGGCATCTGCGTCTCTTTCTATAAGATAGCCCTGGGGAGAGTGTCTGACAAGCAGACACTGTGGAGGGTTGAGAGCAGTGATGCTGAACCATAAACATGCTGTGTTGCCGAGATGCTTACTGTCTTCTACCTGTTGGTTCTCGGAGTCTTCAGAGCCAGGCTGGGCCCCTCCACATGGGAAGTCTGAGACTTCTGTTATTGTGACTAGCCTAGGAGAAGACACTGCTCCTAAGGCTCCCCAGTCACCAGCCTGTCTTTTATAGGGAACTTCTAGTTTTGCTTTTAGATAGGAGTCAGCAGCCAGTAACTGCATGTGTTCAGCAGGAACTGGATGCCATATGATAGGAGTGTGAGACAGGCAAGAATTGAAGCTAAAAGTTAGATAAAACAGGTGACAGTAAGAAGGACGGAAGCTGAAGAAAAACCCAGAAGTAGGACAGAAACAGAACATAGGAGAGAGGAGGTAAGAAAGTTAGAGGATTGGTCCAGATCTGTTATATATAGCAGGGTATCCTGTAAAGAAATAAGGGAACTGGAGGACTAAGAAGGCTGAGTCTGATGAAGCAGGACTTGGCCGATACACTCCTCCTAGACAAAGGGGTGGAGAAAGCAACCCTCATTGGAGAAAACCACAGGGTTGACTGTACGACCCAACATTTTCCAGCACTATCTTTGCTATTCTTTTTAAATTAAATATCAACTGAAGAGGGAAAAAAAAAAGAAAAAGAAATGAAGAGGGAAATGTAGTCTGAATCACAGGTTGTATTTGGGGGGCCAAGGGCTATTGATTGACTATTTTTTTTTTAGGTTTATTTACTTATTATGTATAATGTACTCTGTCTACATGTTTTCTTACATGCCAGAAGAGGACATCGGATCTTATTACAGATGGTTGTGAGCCACCATGTGGTTCCTGGGAATTGAACTCAAGACCTGGAAGAGCAGTCAGTGCTCTTAACCTCTGAGTCATTTTTCTAGCCCCTGATTGGCTATTTTTAAAAACAGGCTTGTTTTATGGAAATAGATCTATATTCCTTGGTTGATATGTCATCTGTGACTGCTTTTATACTGAAACAACGTTGAATCTGTATGACAAACTATGGTCCACAAAGCTCAAAATAATAACAGTAGTAATAGTAATGGGCTTTGAGATGGATAATGTGCCATGATGTAGCTCAGAGAGGCCTGGACTCACTGTAGTCGAGTCTGTTGGCCTTGAACTTTAAACAGCCTGCTAAGTGTTCAAGTAATGGGCATGAGCCACGATGCAAGTCTAAACCCTAAAATAGTTATCTGACTCTTTACAGAGTTTACTGACCTCTGATCTGAACAAGAAAACATTTTTTTTTAAGATTTATTTATTATGTATACAACATTCTGCCTCCGTGTATGCCCACACGCCAGAGGAGAGCGCCAGATCTCATTACAGGTGGTTGCTGGGAATTGAACTCAGGACCTCTGGAAGAGCAGCCAGTGCTCTTAACCACTGAGCCATCTCTCCAGCCCAAGAAAACATTTTTAAGACGCAGTTTCTAGATTGGAAGAACCCATTGTGTGCTTGCTGTATCGATTCTAAAATGGCCAGCACTAAGGTTCATAGTGATGAGTGTAGCTACAGATATTCCCCGCCCGCTGGGCCCCCTGGACCAGGTTTTCTCTGTCCGCCTGTTCCTGAAGCTGCTTATGAAATAACCTCTCTGGCTGGATGGTGGCGGCACACGCCTTTAATCCCAGCACTTGGGAGGCAGAGGCAGGCGGATCTCTCTGAGTTCGAGCCCAGCCTGGTCTACAAGAGCTAGTTCTAGGACAGGCTTCAAAGCTACAGAGAAACCCTGTCTCGAAAAAAACCAAAAACCAAAACCAAACAAACAGAAAAAACTCTCTGAGGCTTAATATTTTTACATACTCTTTGGCTTATTAGCTCAGGCTTTTTATTAACTAATTCTTATATCTTAAATTAACTCATTTTTATTATTTTATATTACGAGGCTTGTGTTTTTTTTTTTTTTGGGTGACTACATGGCGTCTACTTGCCTCTACCTTCTTTCTCTCCACATTCAGTTTAGTTTTCCCGCCTAGCTATATTCTGCCTTGCCATAGGCCAAAGCAGCTTCTTTATTAACTGATAGTAATAAAACATATTCACAACGTACAGAGGGGGAATCCCTCATCAGTGAGAGTATAGAATAATGAAGTAGAAGACCTCAAAGGCCCTACAGAAAATAAAAATCAAGTCAGTATGCATTAAACATTCTTGAGGCAATGTTTCTTCTCAACCTGCCTAATGCTGCAGCCCTTTAATGCAGTTCCTTAGGTTGACCTAAGGTGGTGACCTCCAACCATAAAATTATTTTTGCTGCTACTTCATAACTGTAATTTTGCTGTTGTTATGAATTGAAATAGAAATAGCTGTTTTCCTGTGGTCTTAGGTGACTGTTGTGAAAAAGTCCTATGATTCCACCAAGGGGTCACAGTCCACAGCTTGAGAACCATCATTCTAAGGGAAGGTTCTTTCCAACTGAGAACTCTAAACCTAGCAGATCTGTCTTAAGTGTGGAAGAGAATAAAGATACTTTACTATAGACAAAGTATGGCACATGGCTTACCTGAATACTTTATATACTCAAAAGTATACACAGCTGAAATGGCATTGTGGGTCATGAGGGAGAGAGCTCAGTAGAGCATGCCTTAGACAGACTGAGCTGTAGCAGGAAGGCATGGCAATAGACTGGGAGTTGACATGGACTGGGGATGTCTTTAGTGTCAACCAAGCCCTGGTTCAGTTCTGCCCCCAAGTACAGATATGGAAAAACCCATTATTTGTAGGATTTAGAGAGTGGCAGGACAAGACTGTGCAGTACTGTCCGTTAAGCCAAGCTCCATAGAACCATTTGACCCCAAAGTATATGCATGTGTAACTTCAATAAAAATCAAGGCTGAATTGTACAATCAAATTTCCATTCAGAGGTTTAGAGAAAAGTCATGCTTGGAAAGCTGTCAGAGAAATGAACCACTTGTTTTTTTTCTTTTGTAAAACAGCCAAGTTCAACAGGGGAACAGAAGACAAAACCCACTCAAAACAGTGTTCGGGAGCTTAGAGGACTTGGACTTTCTCCAGACTTGGTAAGGTTTCCTTCAGTGCCTGCTTTTGGTGTTATTGACCACATCTAATTAAAATCTGTCCTCTGGAAGCAGGTGGATCTCTGTGAGTTCAAGGACAGCTTGGTCTACAGAGTGAGTTCCAGGACAGGCTTCAAAGCTACAGAGAAACCCTGTCTTGGACTCTCCCCCGCCCCCCTAGAAAAAAAAACCTGACCTCTGATGGGATGGATGTTTGTCAGCAGGTGTCTGGTGGAGAAAACAGGTCTTTGCCTGAGATTGGAGTCTGATTTTCTTGCAGGCACATAGGAAGGCTTACACTTCTTGTGTCTTGCTTCTTGCAGTCTTCTACCCCTCCTAAGAACATTGAGGAGGAGGAGAACCAGTTAGCTCCTGTAGTTCACTCTTAACCCCTTGCTGTCTCTCATGGTCTGCTTGGGATGTAGGAGTTTTGGTTTTGAAAACTACATAGTGGTGTGTTTGTGGATCATGTGCAGTGTGCTTGGAGCTGACATTTTGGTTCATCTCAAAGCATTACCTCTTTTTGAATTCCAGTTGCGGAAAGCCCTATTAAACCCTTCTTTCTGCTCCAAGTTCCATGTTTTCTTAATTACTAGGTGGTGTGCAGATGCTCAAATCCTCTTGACACATCTGTGAAAGAGAAAATATCTATGTTCTGCCATGTGGAACCTGAACAAGTAAGTACTTTTCACCTCTGGAAATGACTTTACTTCTCCTTACCTAAAGTAAAGTCCATTTCTCAAGATGTGTTGTTCTTGTTGTGCCACAGTTAGTGACGAAGACTGTCTCCTAGATCTTAACACAGTTTTTCCTCTTACAGCTAGCTCTTACATCTTAATTTAACCCATTTTTATTAATCTGTGTATTGCCACGTGGCTGTGGCTTACCGGGTAAAGTTTCCTCCGGCGTCTGTCTCTGACAGGGCTACATGGCTTCTCCTAACTCTGCTGCCTTTCTCCCAGCATTCAGTTTAGTGTTGTCCCGTCCCATCCTGTGTGTCCGTTTTGTCCCCCCCCAGCTCTATTCTGCCCTATTACAGGCCAATGATTCTTTTCATTAACCAATAAAAGCCACACAAATACAAAAGGACTTTTTCCCCATCATCTTCCCGTAGTGCATCTAATTTTAATCATATGTAAATTTAACACAGTCATAAGATGGTATATAGGGGATTCTCCCTAAAAGAAGGTTAGAGGATACAGTTTTGCCTTATTTAAGGAGGTACACACCAAACAAGTTCAGGCCAGATCAAACCTATTTTTCATTCTCAGATTTGTTAGGAGGTTTCTTAAATAAAAACTGTCTAAATTTGGCTGTCACAACTTCACTGGCAGGGAAATTTACAGTATTGTTCAGAGATGGTAGGGCATGTAGCCTGGTGCAGGTTGGGGGTTGAGGAAATCTGAGATTACTGGGTACACTGTTTGAAGATGGGCATGCATGCATAATATGTGCAAGTGAAGGAACAAGGTTGTCAAATACATTATTAAAAGGTGTGTGGGTGTGGGTGTACATAACGTCAAACCAAGTGTGGGTCCCAAACTAAACTGTCTCCTGTGTTTGTCTAAGTACTTATGAAAAGCTTTTACTACAGCTGGGCAATGGTGATGCATTCATTTAATCTCAGCACTCAGGGAAGCAGAAGCAGGCAAATCTCTGAGTTCAAGGGCAGCCTGGTCTATAGGGTGAGTTCCAGGACAACTGGAGATACACAGAGAAACCTTGTCTGGAAAAATCAAAGCTTTTACCGCACCCGTCTTAACGCTCAGAGCTAATCACTTCCCTCTCTAGGTTGCTTCTGTATTTGAGATACGCTGCTGGTGAGTCTGTCATGTGCTCCCTGATGTATATGTACACATGCATCCATTTTACATTCCTGGTATCTGGTGTCCAGGATGTTGTGGCTGCCACGTGCATTTTAGTCTGTTACTGTGTTTAATGTCTATGCTTTGTTATGGAAGCTCTAGTGGGTATAAATAGAGCTTATAGAGTTGGTCAGTGTATTGGGATATCTTTTTTTTTAACTTTATTTATTTTATGTGTATGAGTGTTTTGTTTGCATGTGTGTTTGTATACTGTGTGCCTGCCTAATACCTGCAGAAGCCAGAAGTGGGCATTGGATCTTGAGCTGGAGTTGTAGATGGTTGTGAAGTACTTTGTGGGTGTTGGAACTTGAACCTAGGTCCTTTGTAAGAACAGCCAGTGTTGAGGCTGGAGAGATGGCTCAGAGGTTAAGAGCACTGACTGCTCTTCCAGAGGTCCTGAGTTCAGTTTCCAGAACCACATCACATGGTGGTTCACAACCATCTGTAATGAGATCTGGTGCCCTCTTCTGACCTGCAGTCATACATGGAGGCCAAATGTTGTATACATAATAGCAGCCAGTATTCTTAACAGCTGAGGTACAGGCAAGGAGTTTCCACATGAGTCTGTAGAGTTTGTTTCATTGCCCCATGACTGAGGGTCAGGACACCAAACAGAAGAGCCTAGCTAACTTGGTTGGGGACAGCAAAACAGGGGCTTTAGAATGAGAGCAGTC